TGTGCATATGTGCCGGACACTACACAAGTAGGTCTCCAATGGCCCAGCTTGGTGCCTTCATAAATCAATAGCATACTTATTGAGCACTTACTTGCACCCTACACTGCAGCCATCACAAAAGAAGGTTAAGTCCTGGCTTCAGTGGTTTGAAATATAAAACATTCCCAGATGAAATAATGAATAAACAAAAGGTGACCTAATCAAGCCTTATGAATATGTGGTTCACGCTATCTCAGAAAATCAGAGATCTCATTAAAAAGGCAACATGGGAATGGGTAGGAAGAGAGAAGAAAAAGGAGGGAAACTTACCAATGAGTAGAGAAGAAGGCAGAGGTCAAGAGGAAAAGGATCATTTAATTTTGAGGTTCAGGATTCATGGAGCCCTACTGTTACCTGGAATCCAGCAGGGTCATCATCCACCCCTTAGTGTTGTTTCCACAGTGGCTCCTCCAAAAGCTCTTTGCAATCAGCTGCTTCATTCTTTAACTATTGTCAAGTGTAACTAGATTCTTTCGTCAGATTGAAAACCAGAAATTATTTTGGAGGACAGGACTGACCACAATATTGCCTTAAATAAGCATGTCATGCATCTTGGGAGGGCTGTGTAAAGGATTTGACACATATTCTTTATTTTATAGTAGCCCACAGACATGCTGTCATCCCCACTTAACTGGTGAGGAAAACTGAGGCTTAGAAATGTTATAGAACACTCAGACTCACACCACTAGTAAGTGATAAGGTGAAGTTTCCCAATGTTTTTAGGATGTGTATTCTGGCAGGGGGATGACTTCCTGGCGTGAGGAGCCCAGCTCAGAGTCCTCTGGGTGGGAGGAGGTGAACCACAAATAGGTCAGTGCAGGCAGGATCTGTGGAGGGAGCACATGAGAAATGTTTCAAAGCGAATTCAGTGATGCTGGTGACAACTACAGTGGATCAGAGAAAGAGTGAATTCAAGGATGACCAACTTCAAGGATTTGCATCTAGAAGGCTCTAAGAGAAATGGGATCGCTGGGAAGTAAACATAGATTGACAGGGAAATACATATTCTGCTTTAGGCATGTGAGTTCGGAAAAGAGTAGGAGACTTAGATGGAGATGTCAGTACGTCGAGATGCAGGTGTGAGATCAGGCTGAGGTTGGAGCTTCTTACAGGGACAGGAATGGGGAGCTCGTGTTGTTCCAGAGAAAGAATCTTCTGAGGAGAGCAGCAGATTTGCCGAGAAATAAAGCAAACCTTCACCTTATGCCTGCTGCACGTTGCCGTGCTTTGCAAGCCTCCTGTGCAGGGTGCCATTTTCCCTGGAAAAAGTCATATGAGGACTTTTCCTGGGAGGCACTAATGCAGCGGTTCTCAACCTGTGGGTCGAGACCCCTTTGGGGGTCGAACGACCCTTTCACAGGGGTCGCCTAAAACCATCGGAAAACACATATATAATTACATATTGTTTTGTGATTAATCATTATGCTTTAATTATGTTCAATTTGTAACAATGAAAATACATCCTGCATATCAGATATTTACATGACGATTCATAACAGTAGCAAAATTACAGTTATGAAGTAGCAACGAAAATAATTTTATGGTTGGGGGTCACCACAACATGAGGAACTGTATTAAAGGGTCGTGGCATTAGGAAGGTTGAGAACCACTGCGCTAAGGCTTTAGGAAGGTTTCTCTTTCCCCCCTTCACAAACGTTTCTTTATTAGGAATCTGAGCAGTCTGATCTCTGCTTTACTACACATAAATACAGTATTATCAGCCCAACCTTCACACATCTGCATTATGCTGACATTTACAAACCATGCATATAAGAATTCAAGAAGCCCTAACCGGTTTGGCTCAGTGGATAGAGCGTAAGCCTGCGAACTGAAAGGTCCCAGGTTGATTCCGGTCAAGGGCATGTACCTTGGTTGCGGGCACATCCCCAGTAGGAGGTGTGCAAGAGGCAGCTGATTGATGTTTCTAACTCTCTATCCCTCTCTCTTCCTCTCTGTAAAAAAATCAATAAAATATATTTTTTTTAAAAAAGAATTCAAGAAGGGGCAACTCATGGCCCATACACCCAAGACAGCACGATGGAGAACTTCTTGGGGCACTTGGACCAACAATCACCAACACCTTTCTCTGTGATTGTGCCAGAACACATCACAGCGTCCCCAGCCAGCTCATCAGCACAGGAACTCAACCTCCTCCCTCCTGAGGACAGGAAGCAGACCGTGGCACCTCCACTTCCTCCAGACGTGCAGAAATAGGGATGCTGTCTGCAACCTGTCTCCATCCACTCAGGAAAAGAGGAGACAGAACCTTGGCATTGCTTTTGAGCAGTAGCCAAGCCTACATCAGTGTCAAAGGCCTGGATGAGAATCTAACTTTTGACCACGTGCTGGAGGATTGTGCATTTGTGTGGCTGGGAATCTGTTTCGTGGGGGTTGTTGGAAATCCCTGGCCAATGCATTTTTCTGGGGGGTTGATCCCGGTCACCTTTCTGCTCACAGGGGAAATGACAGTTTGTGATGGGCGGACTCTGCTTGTCCTTTACCAGACTGGCTGCCATGCATGGCCCTGCCCACTGTCCTGGGGCAGGACCTGCCGGCCCTGTGAAGACGAGGTCCCATGTCCCCATGCAGGTGACAGCATTGAGATCATTCCTCATGGTGCAGGAATGAGCTGAAGCCAAAGGGAAAGAGAGGCCAAAAGGAAAAAAGAGAGAGAGAAATTCAACCAAAAACTAAACCAAAGCTATTTCTTTTTATTTCGTGGGCTCTCAACAGCTGTTTAGCTTTGCTGGATTTTGACAGTAAGAAAGTTGCCAAATTTAGAACAGTGAAATGTCAGAGTCAGTGGGATCACAGCACTGAACTCTCTCTACTGCCAAGCGATCTGACTTTGGTAACTCGACGTGAAAGTCGCCCTGCACACGGTGTCCCCCAACAGGATGCCCTACACAGGGCGCTTGCCCCTCCATCCCGAGTGGATGCCCAGTACCCCCAAACTGAGGAAGGCACCCACTTTTGAAGAGTAAACTCATTGCAACTAGGGAAGTCTGTAAGGGCTTGTTCCTTATGCAAGGCAGGGCAAACAGTGGTTTGATCGAAAAGCTAGCTTCATAATGGATATTTTACTACTATTTTGAAAAAGCTAACTTCTTACCAGCAGATGAGGAAAGGGGCAGGGTGTCGGTCATCCCCTGGCCAGGGTCCCTGTGTCATCTCCTCACCCCCACAGTCTCCACGCTCACTCTGCTCTGACAGACTCCCCTGTCAGCCCCGCCTCAGAGGATAGGTGACTGCTGCTCCCTCTTCCCTGTGTCACAACCAGCAGGGCCACGAAGGGGACTTCGGTGACTTCAGCGGCCACCTGTGTTTCTTCCCCCCAAGGCACTCCAAACGTGCGAACCTGGAAGAAACCCTCCCCACAAAACAAGAACCACCTCATTTGGTTGCTCAGACGTCCTTCCTTCCTCTGTCTCCTGCTTGAGGGAGTCACCTTTCAGAACTGTGGGGTATTCCAGCAGGAAAGAGAAAATGTTGGGTGCCCTGGACACAGTGAACTCAGTCACCGTTTGCTGAGGAACTTCACATGAGAAAGTGAAGTTAATTAGCCTGATGGCTGGGAGTGGCTGCAGGGCTCGCCTGGATCCCTTGCTTCTGTTCCTTTATGGGTCCTCAGCCAGCGTCCCTCCCAGCACTGCCCTCCACCTGCGCTGTTGTCCCTCTCCAGTGAAAAACCATGATGCATAACGGAGGGAGGGGACAGGCTATGTGCATGCCAGTGCCCTCCCAGGACCGCAGCCGCCTGCCTGTCACAGGAAGCCCTGTAACAGTGGAGCACCTGGTGCGGGCACCAATGCAGATGTCACTAAGTCAGCATTTGCAGGTTGCATCCTCATACTGGAAAACTCTTCTGAACAAGTACCTGCCGTTAGCTGCCAGGTGTTTTCGAACCACCACGCAAAGATGCCCCGACCAGGTCCGCCCACCCTGGCCCACAGCCTTTTCTGCACCTTTCAGATAAAGCCAGTGCAGTAGGTTCCTCTCCTTAGTAATATCTGAAACGGTCCTTCTGCCTTGGGATTTTTATAAAAATGGCAACATTCTTTAAGGAGAACAAACACCTTCACATGAGCTCTGAGTAGCATCTGTATGTACACCACAGCCTTTTAGAGTTACTTGCTCCTTACAATTTGGTATCATAGTCCTTGATACACATTTCCACCCAGCACTTAACATGGAATATTGTTCGCAAATGCCACCACTGGGCTGTGCTCTTGAGAAAGTCACAGTGTGTGTGTGTGTGTGTGTGTGTGTGTGTGCGCGCGCACGCGCGTGCACTTTGTAGCCTTATAACTAGCAATGGGCCAGACCATGGGAAATGCTCAGCCAGTACCTCCTGAACTGAAAAAGACAGACAGGAAGCCAGTTGGCTAACAGCAATTTGATTGTAAGATGGGCAAGTTAAGAATGGCAGACTTTTAGGACTGAAAGGGACCTTGATAGTCACCTAACTCAGTTACCCAGTCACTACTGCAAATCCCAAACAAGCAATGACCCTGCCTTATTCCATCCTGGGGCAGCTCTTGCTATAGGACGCGTCCAGCTGGAACACTTCGAGACTACTATATCCAGAAGGCGAGAGAGTGAAGTGATTGGCTCATGGTTACACAGCAATTAGCAGCAATGCTGGGAAATGGAAGAGAAACTGATAACTCACTGCCAGACCATCCAGTCCTCGCCACAATCCTCTGGGAGATCCTGCCATTTTGACGCTTGCAGTTGAGGACCTGAGGCTGCGAGAGGCTGAGTGGCCTGTTCAGTGTTGTAGTTGTTAGGTGGTCGGTCTGGGAAACCATGACTGATAGATCTCATTCCATTTTCCAATGCCCCCAGCTATCCCTGGGTACGATCCCAGGTTTCCTGAGACTGTAAATTCTTCTTCTCATTGCCTAAAGCAAACCTCACCAAAGAACCTGTTTCTCACCCCCACTCTTCTCGCTTTTCAGGAGAGAAGTATGAGCTCCATGCAGGGACCGAGTCCACCCCAAGTGTCGTCGTGCACGTGTGTGACAGTGACATAGAGGAAGAAGAGGATCCAAAGCTTGCCCCAAAGCCAAAAATCATCCAAACCCGGCGTCCCGGCCTGCCACCCTCCGTGTCCAACTGAGCTCACCGCTCCGCCTCGACGATATGTCTCCTCTTTATCATGCTTTTCTTTTCCCCGTTGTTTGTCGGAAAAAAAAATTGCCTTTAAATCACTGGGTGTTTGGTTGTTTGAGATTCCTTCCTTGTAATCAAGCCTCTCAGACAAAAGGGCTAGGAAAGGTGATATGTTTCCTGATCATATCATACCATCAAGAATAATCCATTATTTAGAAGGTTTTAGGAAATAAAGTAGTATTTTCTTATTAAACAGTCAGCACAGCCTATATCTTCATTCTCTCATGGTGATACAAGCCAGAGATATCAGTAAAAATAGCACGTGTGTTGTTTGTGAGCTGTTTCAGTCCCAGTCCTGATGTGTGAGTTGTTTATTCCCGGCCACTGAAGTAGGACCATAAGTAAACTTGAGTTTGACTGCATGAGATATCCCTATCTGGTCTCACTCAGTCCTCTGCATCCCGACATTCCCAGGACATGCATGATCACCAGCATTTACTTTCATGATTTGAGGATCTCCTATTAACTCACAGGTTGTTAGCAGCCAGCCATGTCCTATCTAGCGTAGTAAAATTATCAGCATCGCCCAGCTCAACAGGTCTGGGTATATTCACTGTTTTGAGTCAATACTTCATGGCTCTGTTAAAATTCCTGGAAGCAAAACTGAGTTTGGCCCCAAAGATATTCCTCAGTCGATTTTGAACTTCCATCTAGAACTTTCCCAGCCTCTGTAGGGAGGCTTGTCCAGGGTGATAGAGACCGATTTCAGACAAACCTATTTATTACAAAAGTTTCATGGTGTCTGAACGATTGTTTTTCCTCTTTGTATATTTGTACAAATGTTTCAGCTGTGCTTTTAAAATCTGGATGTTTTTTATTTAGTGATTGTTCAGCCATTTGCTGCTTTAAAACATAATATGTGCATTGCTTATGAATGCATTCATAGACTAATACAGATAATCAGATAATATTACACTCTATTATGGATAATGCTGAATTTTGAAAGGGCACAAAACTTCTCATGCCCATGTATAAATGATTAGCCAACATCTTTGCTATCAAGACCACTTGTTTTTAAATAAAGTGAAGAATGCTAATGTCAGTTGTAGACAATTTGGAGGAAGCTAAGTCTCCAGAATGTAGCAGCTGCTGAGCATGTTAAAAGGCGAAGGATGATAAATGTATGCCGATCCTACTCATGCAATGCCCATATTGCTCAAACAATTATTTGTTTTTGTTACATGTGATTTTTCTATTTCTCTAGCCCGAAGTGCATTACAGAAGATACACCTATAGAACCATTTCCTTCTGCTATATGTGCCAGGCCTCATCTACTCCTGTACATTAATGAATTACTTTTGATGCAAATGCCAATTGCGACGGAGTGGGGGAAATAGTTTCAATACCCAAGCCTCAGAAAAACACACAAGAACAATAACTCAGCCAACTGCTAGAAGGATTGTTGTGGTTTTTGACTAAGGTGTATGTTAGTTTTATCAGAAACTTAAAACATAGACTGATCACTCAGAAATTCTAGTCCGTTCTACTGTGAATATAGCAATATTGTACTGGACACAGGATGGGTGAAATTGAGGACAGCATTGCCCGTAAAGTCCTGAGTTTCCATAAGAAAAAAAAATGAAGGCTCCTCTTAAAAACAAAATCTGAGGAGGGTATAATAAGCAAGTGCTTTGACTTTCCTTTGCTGTGGAGATTTTTGGTTTTTCATTAACAAATGAGAGATTAGACTGAATAGTGAAGAAATGCCGCCCTCTAGTGGAAGAAATAGAAATTTTGACCTCAGCCATGTTGTGCTGAATCTTCTCAGTCATCTGTGGGTTGTTTGACTTTTTATGCTACACAGAATTTCCAGAATGCAGGTTCTAAAGAAATATGGGTGAGAGAACATATTTGGAAATGAATTTTAAGTGTTAAAAAACAGATACATTAGACATTTCCAACCAAATTCAGTATAAGTTGAAATGACCGGTCTGTGTAGTCATGAAAGAAAAGCTCAGTGGAGGGTATGACCTAAATGGTTAGTCTTGGTGAACTTTATTGCAAAGTGCCCATGTGAATCTGTCTCAGATCAAGTAATTCTTTCCTGAGGTTGGGCTTGGGGAAGGGGAAGCGTGGAAGCTCCCAGCACTGTGGAAGTCAGAATTGCCTCAGCATTTCCATGACGCACATTATGCAAACCTCTTTCGCACTATTTTAAGTTTGAAAAGTTTAAATATGGAGGGGGGGGAGGTTTCCACCAATTGAATCATTTGTGCACGTGTATAGCTCAAAGAGCTTAGACTTCAAATATACCTGGTGAATGACTCTCGGTCCATGTGGTGTAATTTTTTTGTTGTCTGCCTGAGTTGACTATTTCTGAGTGGTGATTGGGGGGAGTGCAATTCAGCCTATAGTCTAAGTAGTTACCAAGAGATGAGATGAACGTTTTCCTCATGGGAGCAGAGGGTGGAGCTGAGCCACCTCATGAAGGAGGAGGAACTTGAGCAAGGCCTGGAGGCGGGATGGGATGGGTTGGGCTCTGCTGAGGGGAAGTGGGAGAGCCCCCTGTTTTATTGTCATTATTCCACTTTCTTGGTCCTAAACGTTATTTCAGGTGTACTAGGACCCTCTTTTAACAGTTACCCCACTCTATTCTTTCATGTAAAACACGATAGGAGACCCAAAGTGGGCAAAATTTGTTACATGCAACACAAAAAGCACTTTCATTTAAAAAGTGATGAGGACATTATATTTCGTTAAAATTAACAGCATCTGTTCATCAAATTACACCATTATGAGAGTGAAAGGAAAGCTGCAGACTGGGAGAAGATATTTGTGATACATATAGTTGTTAAATAACTCATACCCAAAATGTTAGAGGGAAAAAGTTCTACAGATTAATAAGAAAAAGATAGGCAATTCTTTTTTTATTTTTATTTTTTTACAAATGGTCAAAATACTTAAATAGTCACTTCACATATACTGGCAATTGATGCATACAGACTGATACCCGAAATACCTCTATGGCCCATAAACATTATAAAGTGTTCAACATCATTTCTCGTCAGAGAAAGGCAAATCAAAATCTCCACGGGGTACACTTCACACCTAGCAGAATGGCCGACATTGAGGATGGGGGAAGATAAAGAGCTGGTGATGCTATGGAGCAAGGCGGGGCATAGCTGGCACCACCACCTCGGAACACTGGTGTATCTGCTAAAGCTGAGCATGTAGCCACCTGGGAGCCTTCCACTCCTGGACCTACATTCCGCAGACATGACTTTTCACAGCTACCAAAGTACCTGTACAGTAATAGCCACAGCAGCCTTGCTTATGATAGCCATCGGCTGGATGCAGCCCACAGGTCCCTCCACTGCAGAATGGATAACTAAGCAGTGGTGCATTCACACAAAGGAATATAACAAAGCAACAACAACAACAAAAACATTATTGGGACAGAGAACAACATGGATGGATCTCCAAATCAGCCTTTTCAGCCAAAAAAGAAAAGAGAGACAGACATGAAAGACTATATGATGTATATATGACTCCATTTATGATGTTAAGAGACAGTCAACACTGGCCTATATTAATAGGAATAACAGCAGATACCTTTTGGAGGTATTGACTGAGAGGAGACACATGGAGGCTTCTGGGTGCTATAAACATTCTGCATTTCTATCTTGATCTCCATGGCGGTATATATGTGTAAAATTAATTTAAAATGTGGGCAATACTGTGTGTAAATTATACCTCAACTGAAACAAAACCACTATGAGAATAGGAGGGAGGAGCCATTCATTGTGAAAATAATTTGGAATGTCCCCTCATCCTAAAAATACATCCATCTTATGTCTGTGAGATACTTCCATCCATACAAAGCCTTCCTTTAAAATCTATGAATAAGTACTTTATGACATAGAAAGCATAGGACTTCAGCACTGGATGAGGCACTGTTCATTCCAGTGACCAATATTTACCAAGGACCTACTGTGTGCCTGACACTGGGTTTCCAGTGGTGAACAGGTGGATAGTATAGTCCCTGATATTTCACAGAGTAGAATTGAGTGTGGTAAAGACACTAAACAAAGAAATAAGGAAATAAATAACTACAGATTCTGGTAGGTGAGCACAGTGAAGAAGAGCATGAATACTCTGTGAGAACAGAGAAGAACCTGAAGGGTCACGGTCAGGGAAAACCTCTCTGAAGAGGTGACGTTGAAGCTGAACTGAAGAAGGAACTGGCCAATGAAAACATTCCAGGCAGTGGGTGACAACCATGGACTTGGAAAGGCCTCCTCACGTTGGAGGAACCTAACGGGTGGCATCAATATGGCAACAGTGCAGAGAATGAGGGCTTGGCTCTGAATGAGGTTGGTCAAGGGTCTGGGCTCTGTAGAGCATGTAGGCCAAGCGAGGGGGCTTGTCATTCATTGTAAGCACAATGAGAAGAGTTTCAGCCAGGGAATGATATGACTCAACTCATTGTGAGACATCCTGTTCTCATAGAAATTTCCTGACACAAAGCCACAGTTCTGAATGTCCAAAGAGTCTAGTGTGGGGGCTTGATCCCCCTATTGCCCACTTTAGGCTTGAAAAGATAATTTTGACAGCTGTGTTCATCACTGCAGGCTTATCCACCAAACAAATTCTCAAGGTCAATGTGCAGTGCATTCATGGTTCTAGGAAAGTTTGCTTCTTTTTTCTATTCCTCCCCAGGTCATTTAGAAGGCCTTGGCGCAAGCAAGGGGGAACAGAGCAGGTGATTAAGAATGATAAGTCAGTGATTCAGGAAAACATTCATTTAGCTGCTGGTACAGTGCGTCCCTGCCAGAGCCACCATGCAGAGCAGTATTGAACACTTGGCAGACTTTCCCCTTAAATTTATGCAACCTGAGGAAGGGAAAATTTCAAGCAAAAAGTTTTCTGTCAAACCCATTTATCTGCTCCTTTCAAAGATAGTCTGGGGAAATGTGCTTGGAGTTCATTCGGGAGATTTGGTGACTCTAAAAGGAAGACATATCCAAGGTTTTGTGTGTGTGTGTGTGTGTGTGTCCAAGTGCATTTGGTATAAGTTGGAAATAGGAAACCCATAATAGGCTGAAATGGTTGACATACTCTGTGCTAAAAGTTTTCATGTATAATAGCTCCTTGATTCTTTTGCCTTATTTCCCATTCTCATCCAATAGTTGAGTTTGAAAACTTTTAGGGCTAGGCATGACTTGGGCCTCCTTGACCAGTTGCAATCATTAGTGAAATCATTATTGTTCCCCAAACAGACTTTGGATTTTCCTATGGCATCATTTTAGTCTTAAAGCAAGATATATCACTGTTTTCATAATGCAGCCAAGCTCAGCACCTTTTAGCCCATGTGATTGATGTACTGCAGTGGGTACTGTGCTGTTAAGTCCCAGAACCCCCTTCAGGGTGAAGGCTCTCATGCTGCCACATGCTGGGTATTGGTGACTCATGACCCTCTACTGAGTGGCCAAGCATTGCACTCAGATGGAGAGATCCCCCACCTTGGGTCACACCCCCACCCCAGGGAGAGTGACTGGTCATGTAGAAGTGAGATGGCCCGGTATGTCAACTCCAGAGCCACCTCAGCTCCAGAGCTACTTATGGGACAGTCTGAGGCCTAGGCATCTCAGTTCAACTCTTCCCTCTCCCTAAACATACTTCTTTCACGCCCCCACAGGTCTGACACTAAAGACCCCCCAACAAGACTCCTGTGTGCACATCTTCCTCTGAGAGTCTGTGTCCCAGAGAGACTAACCTAACACTTACATCCTAAATAGCCTTCTCGCCATCACTTGGGGCTCTCTGGAATTGCACGATACTTTTCCATTCATCCCCTTCCCTTTGCATTTCTGACATGGACCAGTCATACCAGGGGTTACTAGCTTTTCCAAAAGCCAACACAGCAAAGCTCCATTCCATGCTTTGGACAGCTGAGTGCATGGTGGGTACAGCAGCGGTGCTGGTAAGGAGTGTCACAGCGCAGGAAGGAGGGCTTCTCCCGACACTGCTGGGGCGTGAGAAGGACGGTGAGAGCCTGTTCAGATGTTGTCAGGGGACCTTATGAGAAACACAGAGGGGTCTATGCAAGGAGGTCATGACCCTGTGTGCCACTGTTGGCCCAGCTTGTCTACTGGAAAAGGACAGAGATGATGTACATGACTTCAGGCAAATTACTAAAGTCCCTGAAACTCAGTTTCCTCTCCTATAAAATGGGTATAATATCCCACCTCTGTCATGAGGACTTAATAAGATAATACTAATAACAGTAGCAATTATTATTGGTGACTAAGTTCACAAATTTTGGTGCCACATGATCCCAGCTCTGCTGCTTAGTAAACCTGTGGTCTTTTGCAAGTTTATTAGACTTAAGTCTCGATTTGCACATCTGTCAAGAGGCAGAATATTAGTACCTATCTCATAGAGATAGGAGGGATTAAATGAGAAAACACATCCAGAGCTGGGCACATAGGAAGTCCATGACCAATGTTTTTTTTTTCTTCAATATTTTTTATTGATTTCAAAGAGGAAGAGAGAGGGAGAGATAGAAACATCAATGATGATCGAGAATCATCGATCGGCTGCCTCCTACACATCCCCCACTGGGGATCGAGCCCGCAACCCCGGCATGTGCCCCCGACTGGAACTGAACCCAGGATCCTTCAGTCCATAGGACTATGCCCTATCCACTGAGCCAAACCAGCCAGGGCCATGACCAATGCTTTTTATGCATCAGGTCCCAGTTGGAGCACTAGACTTTCATACTCTGAATTAATCTTCATGGTGGTGATTTCATTGCTCCCATTTTTCATGAATAATAGTCATCATTTGTGGAGTGCTTACTCTGTGTTGGGACCTCTTCTAAGTTATTTACATTCTTATTTAATTATCTCACTGATTCTGTGAGGAAGGTACTGATGTCACATTTTACATGTGAGGCAACCAAAGCCCAGAAGAGTTACACAAAGAGTTGATGCTCAGAGTGTTCACGCACTTCAGACATCAGCACCAGGTCCCCTGGGAGCTGGTTAGCGATGCGGCCTCAGCCATACCCCTGATCGACTGAATCAGCTTCTGCATTTTAACAAGATCCTCCCTCCATTACTCCTCTTTACTGTACAGTTTAAAAAGCACTCACGTCCTAGCAGAGCTAAGACTGCAGAGCACATGCTTTTAACTGCTCAATGTATAGAGTGCTCATCAAAAAAAAAATGCTCAAAGTATACAATTTCCCTTCCCCAAGTAACTATCAGTTTGACCAAGCTGCCTTCTCTGTCCCTATCCACATCCATTCTTTCCATGCTGGCCT